TTGGACACAGACACACAGGGGAGCAGGTCGTGTAAAGAGAGAAGCAGAGATGGGGTGATAGACCTACAGGTCAAGTATCTCCAAGGACACTTGCATCTGTTAGAAGAGGCAAGGAAGGAGAGCTCCCATAGAGGCTTCAGAGAGCACCGCTCTGCTGACACCAAATTGGACTTCAAACCTCCAGCCTCCAGAATTGCAAGGGAATAAGTTTCTATTGTTTTAAGCAACTCAATTGGGGGTGCATTGCTATGGCAGCTCTAGGAAACTAATATAGGCAAAAATGTCAATTGCATTTAATGCTGAAAAATTTCAAGCCTTGCTCTAATAGAACTCGGTCCTATCCTAGTCAGGAAATATGGTTGAAAGAAGGGACTGTCTTTGCTGACATTACCATCTTGTATAAAAATCACTATAGTGTCTATCTTGGTCGGGCCTTCCCTGATGGCTCAGGCGGTAAAGAATCTGCCTGCAATGCAGGAAACCTGGGTTCGATCCTTGGGTCGGGAAGATCCCCTGGAGAAGGGGATGACAACCCACTCGTTTTCTTGCCTGGAGAATCCCATGGACTGAGGAGCCTGGCGGGGGCTACAGTCCATGGGGTCGCAAAGAGTAGGATGCGTCTGAGTGACTAAGCACCCATCTTGACCAGTCATGCTGTCAAGTCACCGGTGTTATCTGGATTAATATAGTCATGCTGCAGCCAGAGTGAACTTTCTAGAATTTGATCATATATCTCAGGTGCTTAAAACCTTCTATGGTGCCTCCACTGTCCCTGAGAAGATGTGCAAACTCCTCAGGGGGCTTCCCCCCACCCCAGCCCCTCTCCACTGCTCTTCAGCCTCTGCATGGAGCATATTTCTTCCCCTTGGTCTCATTGCTTGGCCAATGCCTACAGCTCCTGTTTGTGCCTTGGTCTCTATGGAGATGCCCTTTCTGCTTAACTAATATAGGCAAAAATGTCAATTGCATTTAATGCTGAAAAATTTCAAGCCTTGCTCTAATAGAACTCGGTCCTATCCTAGTCAGGAAATATGGGAATTTCAATAAAGACAAGGTTGAAAGAAGGGACTGTCTTTGCTGACATTACCATCTTGTATAAAAATCACTATAGTGTCTATCTTGTTTGGGCCTTCCCTGATGGCTCAGGCGGTAAAGAATCTGCCTGCAATGCAGGAAACCTGGGTTCGATCCTTGGGTCGGGAAGATCCCCTGGAGAAGGGAATGACAACCCACTCCAGTTTTCTTGCCTGGAGAATCCCATGGACTGAGGAGCCTGGCGGAGGCTACAGTCCATGGGGTCGCAAAGAGTAGGATGCGTCTGAGTGACTAAGCACCCATCTTGACCAGTCACGCTGTCAAGTCACCGGTGTTATCTGGATTAATACAGTCGTGCTGCAGCCAGAGTGAACTTTCTAGAATTTGATCATATATCTCAGGTGCTTAAAACCTTCTATGGTGCCCCCACTGTCCCCGCGAAGATGTGCAAACTCCTCAGGGGGCTTCCCCCCCACTCCAGCCCCCCTCCACTGCTCTTCAGCCTCTTCATGGAGCATATTTCTTCCCCTTGGTCTCATTGCTTGGCCAATGCCTACAGCTCCTGTTTGTGCCTTGGTCTCTATGGAGATGCCCTTTCTGCTTAATTGTCTCCCCAGGAGGCCCCACAGTCTGCCTAATCCCCTGGCCCGGCCCGAAGGCACCTGCCCACGTGCTGTCCTGCACCATCCTTCAGACTTGTGGATGCTAACCAAAGACCTGGAGGATCTGCATCTCCAGAGTTTAAGATGCAGAATCTGCAGTCAGATATGCATTTGAACAAGACAGGGGATTCATATGCACATTAAATTTGTGTGCTACCTGTCTCTCAGAGGTAGGTTCCATGGGGGTAGGAAGCACTGTCTCCCCAGAAGGAGCACAGTGTCTGCCTCAAAATAGAGATGGAAATCAGTCTCTATTGGTTAACAGGAAAGGCATCAATTACGCGGGAAAGGCATCTCTGATGATCATCAGGCTGATTTCTTGCTAACAAACATGCTATACAGGGGGCAGGGGGGAGTCCCCTTTTATCAGAATAAACAGCCTCAAGCCTACAATCCATTTTGTCACAGGCTTCCTTTAAATCCCCCCCTCATTCATGTCTCATATCTTCATTGCCTGTCCAGTCTTATTTTCTGCATGAAACAGATGAATGACTATCTTATTAGTAATCATGTTTGCTATTTTTGGGTTTTTTTTTTTTAGAAAAAATTTTTAACACTCTAAGTGACAACACAGTCATGGCCAGGTTTGCACTGTCATTTTGGAAACTTGTCCATGAAAACTAAAACCTGGTAATAGTTTTAAAAACTGTCTTCACCAGTCCTTTTTAAGAAAACATAATAGGGGATTTTAATGCTTCATGATAAATCATTATTTTGTCATTCTCTGGGTCCAAATAGTTAAGAAAGCCCTTTCACACACAGCTTCTGATTCTCTTAATAGAACGTTAAATCTGAAAAAGTTTATGAACCATTAATTCCCTGACAGCTCAGACGGTAAAGCATCTGCCTGCAATGCTGGAGACCTGGGTTCAATCCCTAGGTTGGGAAGATCCCCTGGGGAAAGGAATGGCAACCCACTCCAGTATTCTTGCCTGGAAAATTCCATGGATGGAGGATCCTGGTAGGCTACAGTCTATGGGATCGCGAAGAGTCGGACACGACTGAGCAACTTCACTGGTTCAAAATAAAAATCTTAACAAGTCCTCCATAAATGGCTGACTTGACCTATCTCTGCAGCCCACCCCCCCTTCCCTTTTCCTTCCTGGGAGTTAAAATTTGCAATTCCCTAAAAGCCACAATTTGCCTAAAGTTTGTATCTAGCATAAGTCACGTGGTCAACGGTCTTTTATGATGATAATCTCAGAGGTCAAGAGGACACACTCTTTGCAGGTAAACAAGGTATGATTTGTTTTTCTTTTGTGGAATGTACAGATTGCATTTCAGGGTGCTTAGTTTGATGAGAAGTTTATTCATTTATCCAAGCAGGAAGCTAATGATATTCCTGAAGTATTAAGTCAATCAAAATGAGCCTTGAGAGTGGTTTTGGGACATGGGTTCAAAACTTTCAAGGCAGGATCTCTGCTGGGCTTGCTGGGTTTCCTGGACCCTGTGGTGATAACTCTTGAATTTTGTCCACTCTTAGCACTGTGTTTTTGCCACACTCAAAACTAAGTTGCTGAAAATCGAGTAAGTTTTGTTCCATGCTTACATGGCATTGCCTATATTTCAGCAGGATCCAGTGACAAATAAATACCTGCAGGTTTTTGTTGATTGAGTGACTCAAGGTAAATAAACAAGTTCACTTGCCTGCTGGGGCCAGATAATGTAAATGAGCAAAACAAACAGCAGGAGGGTGTGGCCAACGTGAGAACTCCCGCCGGCCTGGCGTCTCTCTGAGGGCGGTCACTGCATCCTCTCCCAGCCCGCTCCTGCACTTTCGCAACAAGAATCTTAGGTTGTAGAGTTAATGATTTTGCAAAGGCCGCCAGAAATCTGAGCTTTTAATGCAATCTCTCAATTTTTAAATGCTGGTAACTAACTCGAATTTTCACAAGACTGTGAACCAACCCGAAAACTTCTAGGGAGTCACGCAGCTCTAAGCAACCAATTTGCAACCTTTGCATTATCTAGATAATAAAAGATATATATATATATATATGAGGGGCTTCTCTAGTGGCTCAGCTGTAACGAATCTGCCTGCAATGCGGGAGCTACAGGAGACACAGGTTCGATCCCTGGGGTCAGGAAGATTCCCTGGAGGAGGGCATGGCAACCCACTCCAGTTTTCTTGCCTGGAGAATCCCATGGACAGAGGATCCTGGTGGGCTACAGTCTATGGGGTCGCAAAGAGTCGGACATGACTGAAGCGACTTAGCACGCACGCGCATACATAAAGAACGCTTGTTTTCTAAGAAACTGTGATTCCTGGGAAGGCCGCAGATGCGGGTAATAGGTCCTGCTTGGGATGGTCCTGCCTGGGTTCAGATCCCCCCGCTGCTCTCGGCCTGTGTGAGCTTGCGTAGCTCACTTCATCTCTATAAACCTTCAGTTTTTGCACCCGGAAAGTGGCCACAATGGTGAGAATGTCCGCTTGATCAGGTTGTTCCGAGGACAGGATGAGAAAGTCTTCGGAAGCCCTCAGCGCCAAATTCTCAGGATCTGTTCCCTAGCACGAGTGACTGCTTCTCTTTATAATAATGGAATTATTCGAGGGCCAGCCAAACATCGGGCAAATACATATTCCCAAATCCTCATTTCTCCCCCCAGGGGAGCGTTTGAAAGCTGTCCACATAATAACCTAGTATTTTTGTTGTTTTAGCCCGACCCGGGGGGGGGGGGGGGGGTGGTGCACTCTACTTTTAAAACCACTGTCCTCACCCGGCGGCAGAGAGCAGCCACTTCTCACCCACTTTCCTTCTCCCCCCAACCCCCCAAAGCATTTTCCAAATCCAAACAGTATTTCCTCTTTTGCTCTAGGCTTTTAGTTTGCAGTGAGCTTCCCAACCAGTTTCGGTTTCACTTAAGCTTCTGGCAGCTTCTCTACCGTAATTAAAGTGTTCTCATTTTCCCCTGAAAACTTCCCACACGCCTCGAGTTTGAACACCGTCCTTTCCCGAACCGTTCAGGGGTTTGTTTGCGAGAGCCTCCGATTGCCCGTTTATGATACAGATGACGCTCCAGGCCTCCCCATCCGCAGCTGTTCCGCGAGGGCAACCCTTCCCCGCTCGCAGCTCCTAGACCCAGCTACGCCTGCAGCCGAGTCCTCGGTCCAGGAAGTAATTTCGGGGCCGGATCGGGCCTCCCTCCCGCGCGGAGCCCGGCTCGGCCCAGCCGCCGATCTGCTCGGCCCCGCCTCCAGGGGGCGGGGTCCGCGGCGGGTTTCGCTACGTCACCGGGAAGTCCCCGTAAGACCCGAGCGCGGGCTGCTGCAGCGCCAGTGCTGCGAGGTCCCTGCGAGCGCGCAGTTTAGTTTCTCCTGCTCCGTGCGGACCGTCGGCTCCGACCCGTTTGCCCCGCTTGCGGCCCGCGTCCTGCAGACCCGAGGTGCTCGGGTTGCATCCCAGAGTTGCCCGGGTCTACCGGCGGCCGTCTGCAGAGATGCCTGGAAGGAGGGCTCGTAGGAGCGCCCAGCCGAGCCCCACGCGGGTCCCGGCAGGTAGGGAGAACTGGGGCCCGCGGAGATTCTGACCGGGAAGGGGGCCGGGGTCGCGGTTTCGGTCCGGGCATGGGCAGCCCGTCGTTCCGGGGCCTAAGAGCCGGGCGGGACCCGCGCCCTGGCACGTGCTTTAGGAGCGCCTCCGGGAAGCTCTTCGGGTTTAACCCGGGGCGCTAGCGGTGGCGAGGAAAGGGGTGCGCCTTGCGATGGGGATGCTGCTGCGTTTGAGCGGCGGCCGAAAGCCGCCTCTCCTTCGCCTGCCTTCCGTCCGCGCTCGCCCTCGCCGGGGCCACGCGGAGAAAGTCATTGTCACGGCCGGGGGCGCCGCTGGCGCTCAGCGGTTCCCGAGACAGGCCCTTTCCTCCGGGGTCCAGGACCTTTTGAGGACCCTTCTCCGTCTGGCCTCTGTCTCCAGCCCCAGCACCAACAAAAGCGATAATAACGCTTGATGCCATCACAGTTCTGCAAAGGACGGATGGAGGGTTATGGAAGCCCCGAAAGGACCAACGAGGCCAGAAGCCTAGAAGGCCTGGCTTCTTAGATAAAAGTATAACATTTTAAGAGTCGGTATTAGTTACAGAAATGGCGTAGGAAAAAAACAGGAGATAGTACACAGTGTTGTTTAATCCATCCCTTCCTCCGCCCTTCCCCATCCATGTAGCTCCATTAAGTAACTTCAGGTCAGCTGTCCTCCTCCCCGCTTTTATAAATTTTATCAAACAAGGCAGACGTCTGCTAAGGAGCAGTAGCAAAGAAGTAAGACCGTGGGCTGGAAATCCGTGTGGGTCATACTGCTGTTACCTCAGACTGTATCGGGTCCCTTTTAAACTTAGTTAAATTTTAGGGGGCCCCTTGGGCGTGCAAATGAAGTGGTGCATGGCCAGTGTGGCGGTGGCTAAGTTGGCACAAGGCTGTTCTGTGTCTCTTGCTTCGGAGGGAAGAAGCTTTGTCCATCTTTTGTGATGTCCAGGAGTTCTGGCTATGTTGCAGAGAATTGCATAACCTTAACCGTCGAACTGAGCCCCCATTAATAAGGGACAGCAAAAAGGTCCCTCTTAAACTTGATTAGATGGTAAGACATAAAAAAATTGAGATGTGAGTGACGTATAACATTGTCTTAGTTTTAGGTGAACAGCATAATGATTTGAAATATGTATCAATTGTGGCATGATTACTGTAATAACTTTAACATCCATCACCACACATAGTTATGTTTTTTAATTAATACATTTATAGATGTAATAAAATCATTAAGGAAGCAACTAGGTGCTGTTTTCTCTCTCTTTTTTTCTTGATGAAAGGGATAATTTTTTCTGTTACAATTCAGGGCTTTCAAAACGGTAGGCTGAATGATGATTTTTTTTTTAGGATTGTGTTAGTATTTCTAACTCAACTGAAAAGGACATGTCTTACTAAATACTTTTCCGAATGCCTGATCCTATAGCCTATAAAGAAATATATCTTAGAAAATTTATTAGGTGTCTTGTTAGGGATTATTAATTAATTTTTTTTTAGGAATTATGAAAATTTTACCCAGCTCTGGTAAAAAGAGAATTTGGTTATTTTGAGCCTAAATAGGGTATTTGCAGGGACTGTTTACAAAGTAAATCAGTTTTTAATTTGTAGTCATAATGGTTTTTAGTGATCATGATCATGATATTGAAATGTACCAAAAAGAAGCTGAATTGCTTTTTGCACTATCCAAGAAAATCAGTATATGTTTGTCGTCAGTATAGGTTTGGTGTTGATTTCATTTACTATAAAAGTTTACTTAGAAATTAGATTATAAATATTACTTTCTCCTTATATTCAGTTTATTACAGTATCTTAATCTTAAAAAATAGTAAACACGTGAACTAAACATTATTTGTTTTTTTGCTTCACTCATCTCCATAGAGGCAGTGGATTGGTACAGATTGGGAAGAATTTGTTTTAAAATTTTAAGTTATTTTAGAAAATGTGGACTTAATTTTAGAATAAGCTTTTATGGACTTGAAAGAATTGTTTAAATGAGGATAATAATGCATTTAGATTTACATATTATGAGGGCATAATCTATGAACTATGAATTATTGCCATTTACAAAGTGAGTTGTACTTGAAAATAACATAAAAGAATTTAACTTTTCTTTCTCTAGCCAGTCTTAAGTGATAAAAGGATGACATCACCTGAGGCTGTGAAACTTACTCACACTTTGTGGTGTATGACATAAATGTCTATATTTGAAAGTAAGATAACATTGCTTCATCCAGGATGCTAAAAAAAAAAAAAAAAAATCAAGTTTATTTTTGCTTAATTATTTCTGTTTATGAGTCACTATATGTTTGTGTATGTCGTGTGGTATAAGTTGCTTTTCTTTCTTTACATTTGGAAAACAAGTGTACATAAAGTTAAGATAATGCTTTATAGGATAAATACTCAACTTGTCCTTGGGATGGGTGTATTAACTCTTGTGGGCTGCAGTTTGCAACGTCAGTGTAACTGATACTTTGCTTTCCTTTTCAGATCCTGAAGTTGAGTGTGCTATTCAGTTGAGGAGAATTGGAGACAAACTGAATTTCCGGCAGAAACTTGTGAATCTGATATCCAAACTCCTCCGCTCAGGAACTTGACTTAAGAAGCTTTCGAATGAGGAGACTCCTTTCAAAAGGAAGATTCCTCAGTAGGTGCAGATTTCATCAGAAGACTCCCCAGTAAATGCAAATTTCATCAATTAGAAAAGAGACTGCTTTGTAATGGAGAAGAACGTGAAGGAACTCTGATTTGCTTTTGAATGCTCATGGAAACGAAGATGGATACAGCACACATGAAGATGGATACAACTCCACACATGAATTTCTGTCCGAGGTTTGCCAGAAGTCATTGTTTGGGATTGGAGAACATTAAAAATCCACTTTGTTTATTTTAAAACAAGAGTGGAGGAGCTTTGAACATAGGGAATCAATTCTTTATACGTTTTGGTTTTGTTTAGAGACTTGTTCTAGTATTTTTGCTGAAGGTTGCTGCCCAGTGTAAGAGGAACTGACAAATGATTATAGACTATGGTCGGGCTGAGAAACAATATATTCCATGTTTGTTTCTACTTTTGGGTGACAGTACCAGAACACTGTAATCTTTTGGTTTATATATATTATTTTGTTAAGACTAAAATTTTTTTTGAGAACACTGAATGTGATAGTGAATGTTAATTTCATAAGTCACTACAAAATATAAACTAATTTGAAAGTTTCTTTTGAGTTAAGATGTATTGTTGTTTCTGTTCAGAAGACCTTTTACTAAAGTGTGTTCCAATGAGCCTCAAACTGGGAAGTGATACGCTTTGAAAAAATCTGAAGTGTTACTTGGTGCCAGTGAAATTCTTGCAGAAAAGAAAAAGAAGCATGGGGATTTTGCATAACTCGGAATAATTTAAGAAGCGATAGATTTTTTTAACTTGCTGTAATTAAAACTTGGTAAGATGAATATTCTAATATAACTGTTGATAAGAAAATGAATGTTTTTAAAGAAATTTCTAAAATCTGTAAAATGTCCTTTCTTATACTCAGGGCATATTGTATAAGAGTGATTCTTTTAAGAGAGATTAAGCATGTTTTCATAATCGAGATACATACATGTGTTTTTCAAAAGGAACAGATTGCTCGTCCAGAATGAAAATCCCATTTACATACATATGCATAACTTCACCTGCTATATATATATTATCTATCTATCTATATATATATAGTGTTAGAGTAATAGGTAAGACAGGCTTCATGAATTCTTTTGTTTTCAATTATTAAAAGGCCAGGCTATCAACAAAACTCCACAAATATATAGAAAAGAAATAATACTGTTATGATTGAATTTCAGCAGGAATAATCTTATTTATTTTACTTATTTATCATTAAACTATTTTTTGTTTCGTTTGATAATAAAGTTGTATTTTGGAATTTTGAGGCGAGGGTTTCACAACTACTTGAACTCTTTCAGGAAGAATGTTTTAATATAGGCTGTAGTCACTTTAGATGAAAAATTACCTCAGCATGTTTTTTTCTTCAGTATTACTTAAAGCTGTTCATTTATTTAGTTGCAAAGACTTTTTTTGGGGGGGGTGCAGCATCTGCCTAGAGGAGAATGTTTTGCTGTGGATATTTATGGTCTATAACTGTATTTATACATATATACAATTAAAATTTGATACTGTAGCTGTAACCTATTAAAATTTACCAACATTCTTTTCTGTGTGTTTATTTTTCATCGTGTAAGCTACTGAGTGTTCGTTGTAAAACCAAAATATTTTCAGTAACCTCCATGAGCAGTCACCTCTTGACCAAACCACCTCTGCTCCAGTACTGTGGTGGGAATAGGTTCTACCGGGACATTTGGCGTGATTTCTGCTCTCTGGAGACTTAGGCTTTAATTGGGAAAAGAAGTAGGGAAAAATAGGAAATGAATGCCAGGCACAGGTCTCGAGTGCTGCCATGTGCTGCAGATGGATGCCTGGAGACTGAGGCGGGCGGTGGAGACTCATGGTCTAACCTAGAGGCTTGCTGAGGCCGGGTCCCTGGCTGCTCCTGGCTCTGCCTGCCCGGCGAGGGGACTCGGGTGCTGTTTCTGTAGCTGCCCTGAGTTGCTGCCTCCCGCCGCCCCAGCTCCGTGCAGCAGGTATTGCGTCATCTGCAACTAGTCATGTGCTGAAGGAGGTGTGACCCCAGCGGCCTTCCTGTTTGAGTGGGAGAGCTCCAAAGATACCCCTGCCTTCTCGCCTCTGTCTCAGAGCCGCCTCCCCGACCCAGCCCTGCCCGCCTGAGTGTGCTGAGGTCCTGGGATGTGAGTCGCCGCCCTCAGATGGGGAGAGAGGAAGGGCCGCGGGGGAAGGTGGCTGGGGGAGCTGATGCCCGCAAAACGGGTAGGGGGAGCCTGGCTTCAGGAAAGGTGGGGCCCGTGTTTGATGGTCTGAGCATTATTCTCTGAGAACTCCCATTTTTAAAATACTTTATTTTAGAGTATAGCCAATTAATGTGATAGTTTCAGGCGCACAGACGTATACATGTATTCTTTCTCTCCCAAACCCCCCTCCCATCCCGGCTGCCACGTGAGCTGAGCAGAGTTCTGCGGGCTCTGTGGGAGGTCCTTGTTGGTGATCCACTTTAAATACAGCAGTGTGTACGGGTGGATCTCAGATTCCTTAACTGCCCCTCCCCCCGGGAAACAAAAAGTCCGTCCCCGGGAAGCCAATTGAAAAACCCAATTAAAAGGCAAAAAAGTCCCAAGAAGGCCAACAAAATGGAACCAATGAACAAAAAAAAACCAACAAGAAATAAAAAAAAACTTTTGAATTTGCACTTAGATTCAAAAGAAAACCTCAATAGTCTATATTTGGGAAGAATCTATGTATCTATCATTTATCCTGTATCTAGGAATGAAACAAGTTCTTCAGTCTAAAGGTGCTGGGCCCTGTGATTATGGGTTTTAATCCCTTGCAGTAACTGCCCACAAGCATACACCACGCTGGGCAGGCACATCATAAATGGTGAGGAGTTCGTCAGACTCCTCACAGCTTTGTCAGAGGGGAAGACGCCCCAGAAGATACACCTTGGAAAGAGAACAGCGGCCGAGAGTGAGGGTGCCACAGGGTGCCCCACTTTGGAGTGCTGCGGCCGGACGCTCCCAGGCGGGGTCTGAGCGTCTGCTGAGCTGTGACCAGCTGAGGCAGCCTGTCTGGGTCAGCTACTCCTCCGCACTCAGAGACCCGGATCGTCAAGGTCTCTGTGGTGTGAAACGGAAAACGGGGTGACAAAGATGCCTATAGAAGGCCTTGCATCACACTTCCTACTCGCCCCCTTATTTCAGACAGGATTCAGAGAGAACTGAAGGGTCTGCAAGAAGTAAAAGCGTGGATGTAAAACGCCAAACCATCCCAAAACAACAACAAAAAGAACCAACTACCCCGCAGACTCTTCCCCCCAACACTGATGGTAAGTCCTGGAGGAAGTCGTGCGGGGGTTCTCGGACACGTAAATGTTTTCTGGGAAATGAGAATTGCCCGGGCATCCTGGCTTCCCTGATGATGACCTCACTCGGTCAGGCCTGCTTCTTATATGAGGCTGGAAATAGCTGAGAGCGCCTGCCAGGACACACCTGGCCGCTTAATCACCTGAGCATTCTTACGTAACAGGTCATGGTTCAAGAGCAAAACTGTTGTCAGGGCAATGCAGGCATTAGCAGGAGCTTCTCCTTTGAGGACTTTCAGAAACTGTTTACTTCCCTGGCGGTTGGGATTTCACCTTCCAGCGTGGGGATCGGGGAGGTGGGGTGTATGGGCTGGATCCCTGATTGGGGGGTCCCAGTGGGGGTTAGGATTCTAAAGGTACTACAGCCAAGAGGTCAAGGCATGGAACAGGCATGGAACAGAGGCACTTCTGCTCATGGGTTCAATAAAGGCTTTAAAAAATTGTCCACATCCAAAAACAAAAGTCTGAAAAAAAGAATTTGCTTTAGTAAATTCATAGTGTGATGGTCACACCTACCTACTGTCTTCTTCCAAACTGGCCGCTTTTTAGAAAACCAAAATGTCAGAAAATTAATTAGAGTCGTCGATGGAGATTTGGAATTCCTTTACTTAGAAGTCTGGGTCTCACACTGCCTCCTAGCCTTGTCCACTCTGAGACTGCACATCACACGGAACCTGGGTTGGGGTTTGGGTTGAAATTAGAATAAACAAGCCAAAAAAAAAAAAAAACCTTGATACATCTAGTGTTTTTTAAAAAAGGCATTTCTCCTTTTGGTCACGCTCTCTCACTAACAGTCTCTGATGGAGCTTCTGAGATTTGTTTGTTCCCGACTTCACATCTTTACCCAGCTATTTTCTAAACCACACATTTCTTCTGCCCACAAGGGTCACTGGCTTCTGGCATTGGAGTCAGTCCGTTGTTTCACCACTTACTCTTTGGGGAACTCTGGATAAATGACTTGACCCTTGTTTTCCTCTAAAATGGTGTAAAACGCACCCATTTCAAACCATCTTGAAGATCAGACGAGGTGGGAAAGTGCCTGACTTCTGGCTCACTCCCGCTCTATGTGTGTTCTTTACTGTCAGAACAGAGGGTTACGTACTAGCTTCTTTACCAAGCTATGGAAGATCTTGTGCAACTAAGGTTTCTAGACTAAAATGAAACCTTTTGAAGGAAGGCGGTATGGCAGTGTGGAATTGGAGAGGAAGCGGCCATTTTTCCCTTAATGAGACACCTGCTTTTAATTTGTGACCTCTTAGTGACGGCAGAACATTTATTGCCACCTCCTTTGTGTTAGGTTTCACGAATATTATCGAATTACCCGAAGCCCCTTGTACATTTTCATATAAAAATTCACGTCTTGATTTACACAATTTCATCTCAAGAAATAGGAAGAAGAACTGGTCTGGTTAGCTCAGACTAGATTTGGATAAGGCTGTTTTCAGTGGTGGGGGGTGGGGGGGCAGTCTTTTCATCAGGACGGAAGGCAAGACCTGCCTTTAGGGAACTTAGGGCTCCTCTGAGTCTGTCCTCCTGTGGACAAAACTTCAAGACCAATACCATTAACATTTTTATTTATTTATTTTGTACTTATTGCTTTTTTACTGCATGGCACTGGGAATCTGTTGCATCACGCAGGCTCTTTCAACGCTCTCCTTGGCACATGTGATTCTAGTTCTCCAGTGAGGGAGCCAACCTGTTTCCCCTACATTGTGAAGTGAATTCTTAACCATTGGACCCTCAGGGAAGTTCCAAGTTAAATAACCATTTATGGATCACCCATGACAAGCTCAGCATTTTAGAAACTATGATTTGTTTCACTTAGTGCATATAATTTGGAAAGCATGATCATCTTTCTTATTCTGTAGGGAAGGGAACAGCCTCTGGGAACCAGCCATCTCCCCAGAGTTAATTGGCCAAAGAGCGGAAGACACAGGATTTGAACCCGCGCCTTTGTCGCCTCAGAGCTCCCCTCTCCTGCCCCCAGAACAGGGCCGCTTCCAACCGGGGGACAGGGGAGAGAACTCATTCCAGAGCAAGGCTAAGGGTTCCCCAGCTAGGGATTCTACCCCGGGTTTCCTGAGGGTTGCAGGTTGATTATTAACCCAGCTGGTGAAGGAGGCATCCCGGTAAGCGCAGCTCGACTGCGCTGACCCCCACCTCCAGCGATGGGCCCGCAGCCTCCGGAGGCTGGAAGCTGGCTCAGGTTATCAGGAAACCCGGGGGCCCGCGGGGAGGCCGAGGCCCACCGCACCCCGGGGAGGGGTTCTGTGTCAAGGGCGCAAGGAATTATGAAAGATCCGCTCCCCGCCGGCTCGCCGGCTCCCAGCCAGCGCCCCAAGAGCGCCTCCTGAGACAGGCCCGCAGGGCGGATTCGCAATGGTCGAGAAAGGGATTCGAAGAATGCAGGCAAAACAGCAGTTTGGCTGCTCTATTTCAGAAAGTCAGGCAGGAATTAGGAAGGAAGAAGAAATCGGTGCCAACATAAAACAAACAAACAAACAAGCCCCGAACAATAGAGAAGGTAGAAACGAGCCAGCCCGCGTCCTGGGTGATTCATTTGGACCTGGGCTGGGCCAGAGGCAGGGAGCGCTCGCTGAGTGGGTGTGGGTTATGACATCTGGTTTTACCAAGGTTACTGTTTAGTGGTTCCCAGAGCCTCTGTCTTCAGGAAACACACGTGTATCAGTTCATCAGAGAGTGGAGCAGAGGAGGAAAAACGTCCTATTTGGGGGGAAAAAAAGAAATTTGCAATACAACACAGTAGCTGCAATGAAAGTGAGAAAAACTCTGCTTTTTTCTTTTTGAAGTTTTTATGACTGTCACATCAAAAAGGACAGATTTCTGAGAATTGGCAAATCAAGAGTAAAATTTTTGTTTAACTTTCAAAATGTGGTTCTAGAAGAATATGAGGAAGTCAGGCCAAAGCTTCACAGATGACTCCTTGGGGCCCTGGGAAAGTACCAACCAGGATGATAAATCTGGGCTTTTCTTCCAGATTTTAATGAACATAAGGAGGAAGAAGGGTGATAATGTGCTCTAGGTGTGGCTTACTTGTAAACCACACTTTTCTAAGAATAAGCTGGTGAATGACAAGTGTGTATTTCTATATGTTGAGAAACATACTCTACTGTGATTTTCAACCCAAATCGTATGACAGTTACATTGGAATTCTCATGATAAATATTCCTGAAGGGACACAGCTGCTGGCCCACTTTATC